TCCTGCTTGCGCTGGGGTCTGTCCTGCATAGGGGGTCCCCTTCCTCCAAAAGGGGTGCGGGACGGGGAGGACTGGCGGTGCCACGAGGCAGGGGACTGGGGGCTTTCGGGCCTGGCCGGGCTGTGCTCACGCTGCAGCTCTGCTCTCCGCAGCCCCGCCTGCCGTTCACTGATGACCACGGGCCCTACGGTGTTGAACGGGCAATTAAGACAGGCTAATAAGCAATTGTCACGCAGGCATCGCAGCCTGGTAAATCAGCAGTGAATCCTGACACCAGCTCGCGGCCCTGACCCCGAGCCGAGGCTGGGACGGCGGGCAGCCGTGCCTCCGCACACCTGTGGGTGCTGACACCCAAGAGGTGCCCCGTTCCGGGGAGCCAGGGCACAGCACGGACACGTCACGCACGGCACCTGGCACGTCTCTGGGCTCTCTAAAGCTTCCCCAGCCCGGGGTGAGACTGACTTAAACCTGGCCAGCCAGGAGAGCCTGGGCTGCCTGACAAAGCTTCGAACTTGGCCTCAGACAGGCAGGTGAGTTTCTCCTGCCTGCTTTGCACTTTTGCTGTTGTGAAAATTATGTTGGAGACACTGCCCTGCCCCTTGGCTGGCAGGGGACACCAGAAATTGCTCAGTCGAGCACCTCAGTCGGGGAAACGCGTCTGTCCACGCTGAGCCAAAAGGACTTTTCCCCACAAACCAACCAACCCCACTTACTTTAAGAGCCAAGATGAGCACAAGCAACTTTAGGAGCGCCCAGAACCCCTCGGCAGCTCTGCCGCAGTGTTTGTGCTCCGGACAAGCGCTGCCTGGCCCCCCCCGCGCCCGTACCGGCAGGATGCGGCCGAGGGGCGATGCCGAGGGAGCCCACACCCCCCCTGGGCTCTGCCGAGCTCGGGGGAGCCACGAGTACCTGGGGAGCTCCGCTCAGGTGCACAGCAGAGGGAAGCCCAGGGGAGCGAGAAGATCATTGCGATTCCTGTTATCCAACCATGCTGGTTTTATCCGATCTCCAGTCCTGTCAATCTCTGCAGCTCTCCAGGCTGACACGGGGTGGGCAGCGTCCACGCGCCCAACAAGCCGGAGAGTTCGGGGGGGTTGGTGGGACTGTGACCCAGTAAGGCAACGCTTAGGCCATTGGAGAGGGACGACGAGCGATTGACCTGTCTCTGCTTCCCAGGAGCAGGGGGTGGGAGCCCTAACTCATTTAGTACCTTCCTTTGGGGAGAAATCACCTGAAACAAGCACAGGGACAAGCTTCCCATCAGCATCGCTGGTTCCTTTTCCTTGGAAAATTCTGCTTCTCCCTGGATTAAAGACGGGTGGGAGATGATTGGCCCCTGTTTTCTGAGGTCTGGAGAGCTTAAATGAAAGCACATTGATCTATGCTTAATGTGATTAAGTTACATCTCTGAGTATCATGCTAATTAAATTAAATTTCCCACTGCTGCCTCTGCAGCTTAAACAGGATAGTTGTTTTAAACCCACAATTCACTCCTCTGCATTTCACTGCATGCATGCGCAGGTAGGATAAAAGCAATCTGCTAATCAAATAATTGTACGGTTTAGAAACAACTCCTAACTCGATGGAAATTCAAATTTAAATCTGATTTGAGCTAGATTTAAAGCCTACATTTTAATCTAAAGTGATTTGTGCTTTGAGTAAAGAAAATAACAGGAAAAAGCAAGAGTAAAGTGGCAAAGGAGCGCGCAGAGTCCGCCCGGCTGCGATGCCCGGGGTGTTCAGGCAGCGGGATGGGTGATGCGCGGGGACCAGACGGTTTTCAGAGCCAGAGCTGCAGCAAAGGAAAGGCAGAGCCGCCGTCCAGCCTCCCCTTCCCCACCACAGGCCAAAAATGAGCGCTGGGATCCAGCCCCCCTGGCTTCAGCTCTGTATTCTCTCAAATGTTACGTAGCCACCATGGGCTCCTCTCTGAAGCGCTTCGAATCGAATGTCAGATGACAGACAACAATATTTGGCTGCAATTGGGAGAATAACAACATTTAACCCAGAAAACTCCCTGGTCTGATGTGTCACTGGTGAACACACAGAGCCCCACGCGCTCTACAGCTGATGGGCCAGGCTGGAGCAACACGCAACAGCCCCTTACACCGGGGCTGGAAAACCGTGACCAGAATAAACAAAACTCGGGGGAAAATTCATCTCTGCGGTGGGTCGCAGAGCCGGGATCCCGCTGGGAGCTCAGTGCTCGCAAGGCACCGAGGGCTGAGTCTGGGGAGCACAACTCCTCGCAGTGAGGATCATCTCCCAAAGACACCCCTCCCTCTGCCCTCCTCCCATCTCCAGCAGCCCTGGGAACCTGCCGTGGTTTTTCCAGCTTGCAGCTTCTAAGAAAAAAAAAATAAAAAATTGCAATTTCAAAGCTCTCTCCTCATTGATTTGACAGCAGCAGCATTGACCCGATGCCGGAGCAGAGACGGGCACGTTAGTGGGTCGGAGCGGGTGTCACGGGGGGGGCGATCGGGCACCCAGGGAGAAGGTGGGAGCTGGGGCGGCGGGATGGGAGCACTGGGGGGGATCTGTCGGGCTGCTGGAACCACCGGCACAGCTGGAGCCGAGCAGCACTGGTGTGCTGGGCAGCCGATGCGGGTTGGTGCTTCGGCGTGGGGAGGTTTTAGGAGCGGAGAGGCCGCACGTCCCTGCGCTCAGAACCGGCGCGTGGCTCTGCTCGGAGCTGCCGTGGGAACCGTTAGAGGGTCCTGCGGGCCCGGCTCTGCCCAGGGTGTGAGCACAAAGCCCACCTTGGGCCTCTCCGCAGTGTCACTTAAAAGATGGCTGTGGAGAACACAAGAGGCTCTTCGGGACAGCCAGGAGCTTAGTACTCAATAGACGTCGGCGTTTGAACCGATGCCGCTTCGCCCCCGGGAAGTGGCCGCAGCCCGACACCCCACCCCGGGGGTGCTGGGGGGCACCTGCTCCCCCCGGACCACCTCTCCCACCGCCCGCCAGCTCCTCCCGTCAGGGCTGGGAGCGACCCTGAGCCCGACTGTTGCGGCTTCCTCGCAGGGAGCGGGACGGGGAGCAGGAGGGTCTCCCCGCTCAGCACACCGAGCCCCTGCCTGGGAACCACCCGGGGAAGGGAAGGGTCAGCCACAGAGACAGAGCTTTTGGGTTTTTACAGTTGCTATGGCACCAGCTGTCTCCGTTCTGTCATTTATGCCCTTAAAATGGTTCTTGGTCGGGAGGGATTAATCCTTGCTCCCCCCAGCACGCTCCTCAGACAGATCATGCCGGCAAAGGGGATTTCTCACCTTCATCCCTAAGCGAGGGACCACTGCAGCCCCCCCGCAGCCCCCGCAGCCCTCGCCTTTTATTACAAGGGCTGCCGCTGACATTCACGGCTTTGCGCCGCCCCAGGAGGGACACGAATCCTCTACAAACCCCCAGGAGATTAATTGTCCCTCACCTTCGTGCCAGACCTTGGCTCGGGGGAGAGCCACACCGGCAAACCTGACGGGGCCACGGAGGCGGGGTTCTGTCTGGCCACAACGGGACCCCCCAACCTCCGCTCGCCCCCCGCTCCGTGTGTGGGATCACCCTGACACCCTCCAGCGAAACCCCCTCACGTGCAGAGGGCTCTTACCAGTCGCTCCTCGTAAGCCCACGAGCAGAAAATCGATGCGTTTTCAAACGAAAGGTGTTAAAAGGAATAAAAATTTCACGTTCCTCAAGCAGAGAGGGAGAAGCGGTGCTGAGCACAGCCCCCCCCGTGCGGGGAGGGGGCAGCTCGGGGCTGGGCACCCCAAGTTCAACCATCTGCTGCTGGGGTCCCCGCTCTGGGTCCGGGAATGCCAGGGGGCACACGGTGA